CATATATATACACATATGTATAATGTTTTGGAGAAGGTGGCAAAGGTTTTAGTTATCACTGATAAAGCAAGGGATTCTATCCCCACCTTGCAGCTAGAGCGTCCAGTCTTCACCTTCTTGGTGAACCAATACAAAAAGATCCAAGCAACCACAAAATGGTTTCTTTGGCTAATGACAAAGAAACATTAATGATGAGTCAGAATGACAAGTTCCAAACCCCGCTAAGGTTTTTCTATGTTCCAAACAGCATGCATCATATAACCCTACATACCTGCCATCGAAGATATCTCGTAGCAAGATTGGTTTTAGTTATGAAGAGGTTCCTATCTTCTTCTTGCAGTCACATCCCCATTTTTGACCTCCTTGGTGAACCCAATACAAAAGAATCCAAGCAACAAAATGGTTTCTTCAGCTCAATAGCAAAGAATCGTGCAAAAAATGGACCAAATAAAAAGAAATTAGCAAACCTAGCTAACGTTTTCTTATGTTCCGAAGAGGTGCCATATACCCTACAAAGGCAAGGTTTAATTGACATTGGAGAAAAAGAATCGACAAACAGCCATCAGAAAAGAACTAGTGGTAAGAATGATTTTGTTACCATTGATAAAGCATGGGAATCTATCTTCATCTTGTAGCCAAGCCACCAATCCTTCATAGTAAATCCAAGAAAATAGGATCCAAGCAACAGAAACGTTTATTTGGTTCAATGGCTAACTTTTCCTATGTTCCGAGCAACATGTACCATGTACCCTATATTCGTGGGCATGTGAAAGACCGAATCAAGAAATGGCCTTTAGTCCACGAGAACATGACGCGTACCAACTCATAGGTCTCGGCATTAACATAGCCAGGGGCATCGACTTCCGTTGTCTGGAGAGGAGCGCCGCAGCCGTAGCAGCAAGCGACGTTGGTTGGGAGTTTGGCGTCGTTTCTTCTCTTCTTCTTTCCCTCCTTATTCTTCTTGAGAACGAGGGCGGCGGCGGACATGGACTGCTGGCGCTCGAGGTAGAGGTCACCGCGGGTAGGGGCGGCCGCGCCCGTCCCATCCAGCTCTACGGACGTCGGCGGGGGAGAGGGAGAAGGAGAAGGAGAAGCCGAAGAGGCCCGGCAGGAGATTGGGTAGGGTTTGCAGGGGAGTCGGATTGGCAATAGGGTTACGGTGAACGGACAAAAGGCGGCGAATTTTAGGTTGGGGAAGAGAGGAAAGGAGGAGGAGACAGCGTTGGCGAGGTGGGAGGACGTGGAGAACTGTGAGTAACCGGAGAGGCGGAAGGGGTTGGTCGCCATGAGACAACAGCGGATGAGCTCTATCGATTCACTGTGAAATGACAGGTGACGGTTAATATAAAAAGAAAAAAAGATTTATGAGCAAACATCCTTTCAAACCCACCGATTTGCGTCCATACCCATCTGATTCACGGACCGTATAAATAGATTAGACATTTTGATAAGCTAAATTTAATATCCAAAAAATTGACTTTTGAAAGGTCCTTTTCGAAATATTGATATATGCTTGTGTTTACATAAATCAATACGCTTATATTCTTATATTTTTATTCTTTTTTGGGATAATCAATATGCCTATATTTCACCAAACATCCTCATGTATTTTATTTTTATATAGATATTACGATGATCTTAAACTCGAGTGTCTAATAACATATTTACATGATTTAATATAAAATTTATAAAAATATTTTTTTGATAATTTATTGAAAAAAGTCTCTAGATTTATAAAAATATAGCCCATCTATATTTAATTTTTATGAGGGCATCGCTTTTGTTTAAACTTTTGATAATACCTAAATCCGATTAATTCATTCTCGATCAATCTACGGGTCGATTCGATCTAATCGGGATATCTTGATCTAGGTTAAGTGATCAAATTCCTTCATGTCAAGTTGAGTCGGATCTTTTCCATCAACCCATGAATCATCTCTATCTCTGTCTTCTCCCAATTAATCTTTAATATCATCTCCTCCTCTCCCTCCTCATTAGTTGTCTTCTCCCCCTCTCATTGGTTTCCTCCTCCTTCATCTTCCTTCCACTCTTTCGCATCCTCACCATTAGCTTCCATCTCCTCCCCGTCTATATCCGTGTAACATCCTACTCATTATTTCACCCATAGCCTGTGTACATGATTAAAATAGGATATCACATTTCAATTTTTATTACTACATCGATATCGATAGGAATATAATGGAAAGTAGGTAATTTTAAAATTAAAATATACTAATTTATTAAATAAAATTGATTGAGAAATTTTTGACACTTACCTAATTCTAACATCTAACCAAAAAAATTTTCAAACATAATATATTTAAGAATTATACACACAAAATACCGATAGGTCATATATATATAGATATATATGCATTGGCATGAGCTTATACATGCTTACTACTAGTCATAAATGTCTTGCAAGTCAATGTGAGTGTTGACACATGTGACACTGCATAATCTCTTTGCTTATATTATTATTGATATTTTCTCACTTTATGTTATGTGTAACATATATTATGATGTTCATGGATCTGTTCAATAAAAATCGAATCGTGATAAGATCATGATAATAAGACCGATTCGTCTTTAAACATAAACCCTAAATAATTCCAATCATAAGTTACTTGAGAGGGACATTGAGATAACTGAAGAAACTGATGTGATGTATGGATGATGGAGGTGGCTGGTCTCATAGTTGCTCGTGTGGGGACACTATGGATACAACGTAAGTGCTTATTAGAGAATGAGTTCACTGATTAATCAGCTTATAGAATGTTGGATGGTTGATAATACTATTGAATCCTAAATATCGATGATAAAATCAATTGATGAGTTTATAGGCTTATAAGCATTTGAGATAAGTGACGTAAGAGAAACTTCAATCATGGAAAAGCAAATTATTGAAGCAAAAGAGTCAGATGTTAAGCCGGAGAGCATCATGTCATAGTTCGAGCATCGAGGTGGAAGGATCAGACATTATGCTAAAAAATTAAATATTGTGGGAGGTCAACATGCCAATGGATCAAGCAATACACCAAAGGAAAAGATGATGCACTAGAGGTTCGAAGAAAATGCCAAATGAATAGATGACATGCCAAACAACATAGGCTTCATGATTGTAATTGTTAAGTCTTGATCGAAGTCGTTTAGAGTCTAATTGAGTTGGTTTTGAGCTGTAACCATGCTAACTTGATTAAGAGCTCATTTGGTTTGAACTAAGGCTGAATTGGGCTTATTAAAAGGCCAATTTAGTAACCTATTGTTGGGTTGAGAGTGGTACTTCTAGAGCCCGGGTTCCCAAGTTGTCAAGCAGTGGTACCACCTAAACAGATAATGGTACAGTCATAACTTGGGTTCCCAAGCTATTAGGCAGTAGTACTACTCAAACAAGCGATGGTATCCCCAAACAAGCGGTGGTACAAGCGATGATATTGCTAGACTATCAAGCGGTAGTTTATGTTGAATCTCGTATTTTAATGATGAAACCACTTGATAAGTGTTTATGATTTGATCTGCGTTTTTAGTGACGCAGGATGCTTCGATCAGGATGAGACAATTAAAGCAGGAAGAATCATGTTGGGCTAGTGGAATATGTCAAAAGATTGAACGTCGAGCTGGAGGATCGGTTGACGTATCGACATAAAGCTTCCGGCCATGGATTCGAGCATCGAGCTAAGAATATCGGATATTGCGCTAAGGATATCGGAGTTGCAGAGTCAACTGGCCGATTGGACAATAGGCCACAAGAGAGGACGATGCGCCGAAGAATCGGACGAAGTGTCGATGGACCAATAACATGCCGAACAATATGATTCATACTTAAAAATAATTGTCTAGATCGAAGTATGTTTTACATATGCAAGATTAACTACAATAGCAAGGCATGAAGCAAAATGAAGTCCCGGAGTCAAGGACGTGATTTCGTTGGGAGTTTGAGAGTTCATCGAAAGTCCAGACATTCATTAGAAGTTCTATAGGAACCAGCTAAGAAATCTAGGAGCTTGTCGGAAGAAGTTCATCAGAACTCGCCAAGAAGATCGTCGTGAAGTCTAGGAGCTTACCAGAAGTCCGTTGGAACATTGCCAGGAGATTGTCAGAAGTTTACTAGAAGATTACAGAAAGCTCGCCGGAAGAAACCAAGACCTAGGGACTTATTTAGCTTAAGTATGCCTTAGATTTCGTAGTTAGCACATAATTGGGATTAAATTTGGGCCAACCCAATTATGGGTAGTTGGGCCCATGTAAAGACTATGTTGGGCCCAATGAAAGGCCCAAACAATGACCCAAGAGATGGAACCGTCGTGGCATAGTCTTTGAGATTGTGTCAGGTGGTGGTACCGCCAATTTGGGCGGTGGTACCACTAAGTGCAGTGTCAGTGTCAGACTGACACTAACGGTGGTACCGCCCAGCATAGGCGGTGGTACCGCCCATACCCAGGAAACTCGGGATGAGATATTTTTAGGCTTCAAGTTTTAATCAACTTGAGGCCTATAAATACCCCTCTCATCATTGGTTAATATACACACAACCTAGAGCAAAAAAGAAAGAAAACTCTGTTGTAATTGTGTGTGAAACTCCTCTCAAAGTTCTAAGTGTTAGAATAGATTGAGAGAGGAGTAAGTGGGGGTGTAAGGGTTATCTCCTAAACCCAGTAAAAGGATAATCGAGTTATAAAAGGTGGTTGGTCTTCACCTATTAAAAGGAAGACCGATAGTGGATGCTGGTGGTCTCGACGGAAGAGGAATCGACAAAGTGGATGTAGGTCACGACGATCGAACCACTCTAAAATCTGGTTTGCATTTCATCTTGAGCAATTTACTTTACTACAAACCATTTTACTTGCTTACTGCCTTAAATACATTTATGAACATGCTTTCAAGTTAAGCATACCCGAGTTTGGCTTTTATCATATGAAAAGTTTTTGGAACCGATGTTATTTTATTGCTGCACTAATTCACCCCTCCACTTAGTGCCGACTCTATTCCTAACAGTTGGTATCAGAGCCTTGTTTTCTCATTTGGTTTAACACCCAACGAGAAATAACTCTTTTTGGCTTTCAAGAGGGTCACTCTCTCATTCGTCCTCCCTTATTCAATGGGATGGACTACGCATATTGGAAAACTCGAACGAGAGTTTTCTTACTTTCTTTGGATTTAAATTTATGGAGTATTATGGAAAACGGTTTTCAAATGTCTTCTCTTTCAATGAACCATTGAAATGATTTGTAGAAGAAGACGTTTTCTTTAAATGTTAGAGCTATAAATGCTCTATTTTGCGCCTTAGATAAAAATGAATTCAATCGGGTTTCTTTGTGCGAAATATCTTTCGATATTTGATACATTCTTGAAATCATACACGAAGGCACTAGTAGAGTAAAAGACTCTAAGATTAATATTTTAATGTATGATTTTGAATTATTTCATATGAAACCAAGTGAAACCATTGGAGACATGTACACCCATTTTATGGATGTCGTCAATGGTTTAAAAGCACTTGGTAAAAGTTTTTCAGGTTTTGAACTCATTAACAAGATCTTAAGATCACTTTCTAAAACTTGGGATTCAAAAGTAACGTCTATTCAAGAATAAAAAAACTTGAACTATTTCCCTCTCGAAGAACTTATCAGGTCTTTGATGACCTATGAAATGACTAATGTGGTACTTGACGAACATAAGAACTATCTTCCAAAGAACAGGAAGGATTTAGCACTTCGAACAAAAGAAGACCACTCTAGCATAAGCTCAAGTGATGGTGAACTTAAATTCCTCGCTAAAAAAATTAAAATATTCATGAAATAAAAATTAAAGAACAAAAAGAATGCAGCTACTTGCTATTAACACAAGAAGAGGGAAGCACATTGGGATGAATCGAGCTTATCCAAAGACGAGAAGAAAATCAACAGATGCGATGTGGCAAACTACACCTTAACTGCTTTCGATAATGAGGTAATCAAAATGCCCTTAGTTTACTTTGAAATTACATAATACTTTTCGTGAGTTATTTTTAATTTAGTTTAGAAAAAATATTTTTTTTGAAAATTACATGTTTAATAATGTAATGATAATATAAAAAATTAGGAATCATACTTATCCTTCTGGTAATTTTTTGAAAATGTTCATGAAAATTATATGTTTTTATGAAAATACAATAAAATGTTAATCTAATGCTTGCACACCAAATATGATTAATCTTATGTATGTGTTTAAGAAGAAATAATATATATCTTAATGATTTTCATATTGCCTTCCGATTATAAATGATGATGCGTGGCTTTTGTATAGAAACTAAGTATGAAAAGTTAGATTTACTT